GCGTGAACAACATAAATCCCACCTCTGCACGACAGGGCGGAACGGACGAAGATTTGCAGAACCAGCGACAGAGGCTCATGTTCCCGTCAATTCTAAAGCACTGTCATGTTCCCTTCTTTGCGAATTCTTAGTGTGAAATTCCTATGAGGCTGAAAATTGCTTGCATTTTTTCTTGTAAATTTTGAACTCGAAATTACCTATTGTTACAGAAGGATTAATATGTTGACTATTTATTGCAATAATTCAATCAAGGAAGACAACGAATCCTTCGTTTCCATTACTTACGTGTTATTTTTCTAAAATAAACTGTGGGCACCCTTTTGTCTTGTGGCTATTGTGTGACTTGCACTGCATAATATTGATTTTTGTTACCCTTATTATCTAACAACCCTATGAAATATATGAGTAATATACCAGAGAAGAATTCACTAGAACTACTGGAGACTATGAAATCAATGCAAATGCATTTAACTCGATTTCTGCAAGATGGGTGAAAAACGCCGAAAAAAAGACCAGGCCCCGTTCAGACGAGCGATTTTAGTGGTCCGACTGCTAGAAGCGCGATTATTGAGTGATTGTTCACACACAACGCTTTCAGTGGCCCTAGTCGTCTCTCCCCCACTTTTTTCCCCCTCTTCAGTCGCTGATCATACACAGCTGTTAATGGATTAGAAGAGGTGGCTTGCTGGGTTTTATATCGTCGTTTGAAGTAGCGGAAGAGGAGACATAGACGTTATTGGGTTCATCCTATCTTAAATGACAGACTTACCCATAGAAATGTTCTTCACATTGTATCCAAAGTTACAAGAACATGAACCAAGTTATTTAATTACATGAGAATGTCCATCAAATCATTTGACAATCTGCTCTAACAAATACAGGATGACAGGCTGGGGAAAGCAGAAGTGACTCGCCTGTCTGTCTGCCTCCGCTCCACATGATGCTCTCTCACTGGTCTAATCCCACCCACTCCAGCCAATGAGGCGCGCCATCACCATGAAAACGCAGTGGCTGTCGCCTTGTGTGTGCGGCCGCATAGCAACACATGTAACTCGAGTGGCTGAGCAGTCTTGCGACTGTGAAGGAGATCTCGAGTCGCACCACAGGCCAGTCACAAGTGTGCACTCCTATTCACTTCCATTGACCTAGCAGTCGCGCTTCTAGCAGACGCGGCACTAAAGTCGCTCGTCTGAACAGGGTCCAAGTTTCCTATTTAGAAGCAATTCATGTCTGGCCTAAATTGATTTTATCGAACCTTAAACCATACTGTAGCTTGTTTAAGCACTAAACCAATGCTACCCTCAATCTTCGTAACTTTTCAGTAAAAGTAGTCCCGGTAACAACAGCGCCAGTGACAATAACTGCACCAGTGACAACAACAATCGCAAAAGAAAGAAAGAAAAAAAAAAACGCTTGTTATAACAACAATAGGATCAGGTTCAACGGGAACAGCATGAGTCCCACCTCTGCACGACAAGGTGGAACCGGACGAAGATTTGCAGAACCAGCGGCAGAGGCTCATATTCCCGTCAAATCTAAAGCACTGTCATGTTCTCTTCTTTGCGATTTCTTAGTGTGAAGTTCCTAAAAGGCTGAAAATTGCTTATATTTTTTCTTGTAGATTTAGAACTTGAAATTTCCATTGTTACAGAAGGAGAAATATGTTAACACTATTTATTGCAATAATTCAAACAAGGAAGACAACGAATCATAAATAACACAACCATTCGTTTTCATTACTTGTTATTTTTTTTTTAAAGATTAAGCTGTGGGCACCCTTTTGTCTAGTGGCTAATATGTGACGCACTGCATAATATAGAAGTTTTATTACCCTTATTATCTAATAACCGTATGTAATATAATATACCAGAGGAAGAATTCACTAGAAGTACTGAGACATGAAATATCATTTTGTGAGGAATATGACAGTGAGGACGAACAACTAGAAATATTCTAGATTATAAAAAGCAAATGTAATTAAATTCTGCTATTTGTGTTTCTAGTGACTGTGTGAAATACTGGTCTCCGAGAAAGAAATAATACACAATTTCAAATCAAATAATACATGAATTTAATTATGGGAGATGATTATAAAGAATGCATATGTGTACACAGAATAGCTAAAAAAACAGGGGTAATAGCTAACGAAATACAAGATAATCTAGTGCATCTTTATCTTTATAAACCCCAGCAACATTAATGCAGTTTAAATCTCTCTCTCTCTCTCTCTCACACACACACACACACCTGTTGTGACAGAAATAGAACTTAAGGAAAATGGAGAGAGAGAAAAAAAAAATGATAGAAAAGAACGGAGTACATGTGTGGTGGACAGCGAGTGTTCAGCCTAGTGCCGTGTGGTCAGATCATCTCGAGAGACGGACCGAGTAGGACCAGAGTGAACATGGCATCTATAGTGTTGTGTTTCACGGTGAGGGTGCCATGCAGGTGTGAACAGTCACTGATTATTGGATTGAAGAGTTTCTTCTACAAGTGATTTCAGTACAATAAATAATGATTAAGTGTTTATTTAGATTATAACTTTTATAAATACTATAACTATTTAAGCAAAAGTAAAATAAGTAAAATTAAAGCGTTTCACATTTCTCCTTAATATTAATATAATATTTTAAAGAAAGAGCGGTGGCAGCTAGTTATTTCATTCATCATTATAGTTAGATTTTTAATAACTCGGTCTATGACTCCTAATACTTTATTGCAAAGGTATATTCCCGATATATATATATATATATATATATATATATATATATATATATATATACACACACATGTGTGTGTGTGTGTGTATCTATGTCTATACATATATAGTGTCAATCACAAAATCCTCATCAGTAAACTAATGAATCACAAATTTGACATATATTGGTTCAGAAGCTATCTAAGTAATAGAACCCAATCAGTCAAAATTAGCGAGAATATATCAGAAAAACAGTGTAACCTTTGGCGTCCCACAAGGATCTATATTAGGCCCTATCCTGTTCATAATATTTGTAAATGATCTGTCAACCATAGCCCAAAATTGCCTTCTTGTTCAATACGCCGATGATTCACAATTTCTACATAGTGATTCTGTAAACAACTTAGATACACTGATACTAAAGACCCAGGAGACACTTTCACAAGTAAAAGGATACTTTGACTCAAATGGCCTTAAGATAAATCCAGATAAGACACAATGTATCTTCATAGGTAGTCGCCAAAACATCGCCAAAATTCCTGTAAACACGACCATAATATTTGAAAACAGCTATATAAGACCGAGAACTTTTGTAAAAAATCTAGGCGTACACATTGACAGATTCATGACATTCGAGAACCACGTCGATAACATCCACAGGAAAGTAATGGGCACACTAATTTACCTAAGTCATATCAAAAATAGAATCCCAGCTGAAACTAGAATATCTGTTATACAAACACTAGTTCTCAGTATAATTAACTATTGCTCAGATATATGGGGTACAGCAAAAAAAGGTCAAATTCAGAAAATTTAAAAAATGCAAAACTTTGCTGCCAGGGTAGCACTAGGGAAAGTAAAAAGTATGACCACATTACCCCACACATAAACAAACTAAGTTGGCTAAAAGTACATCACAAATGCAACTATGATACCTGCATACTAATTCACAAAATGATCCACGGTTTTTATCCAAAATGGTTGTTAACCCTTCCAACTGTAGGTAATACAACTTGTGTCCAAACAAGACAAGGTAACTCCCTATATGTTAAAAGATCACGTACAGACATAGGGGCACGACAGATACTAACTCGTGGACCCATGATATGGAACCAACTGCCTTTTGATATCAGAAACATTTCAAAACACAATACACTCAAAAGGAAATTAAAGGAACATCTATTAAATCACCAATGACATCAGGTTTCTAAATATAAGAATAGACAAGACTTTTGTACCACCATTGATTCTATGTTTAACTTGTATTTATTTGTACTGTAACATCACTATGTATATAATAAAAATAAACCACTGTAACAAATAGAATAAACTATTTTGAATTTGAATATATGATGTTTATGTATATATTGTATACATTTATATATATCAATATATATACATATATATATTATTTATTTATACACAAAACACACACACACACATGTATATATATGTGTGTGTCTGTTTGCGTGTGTGTCTGTCTGTCTATGTCTCTATTCATAGATGACATTTATGTATATATCTATATATTTGTGTATATATATATATATATATATATATATATATATATATATATATATATATATATATAAATGCATACACACACATATACACATATACACATGTATGTGTATATATATATTTATATATTTATATAGATACAAATATTTATATATATGTATATATGTATATATGTATGCTTTACATATATAGATATATACATATACACATGTATATACGTATATATATACATATATATTAATATGAACATACACACACACACACAGACACACACACACACACACACACACACACACACACACACACACACACACACACACACACACACACACACACACATATATATATATATATATATATATATATATATGTGTGTGTGTGTGTGTGTGTGTGTGTGTGTGTGTGTGTGTGTGTGTG